CTTGGTTCCAATACCCGTACACCGTCAGCCAGTTGCGCAGGTCGCGCGCGCGCTTGCCCGGGATGAAGCGCAGCAGCTTGGGGCCGACCTTGAGGAAGCTCAGGTACCCCACCATGCGGTCCTCCTCCCGCCCGCCGCCAAACTTGGAGAGCACGGCTTTCACTGGCGCCGGCATGCCCTGGCTCTTGCCCCCTGCCATGGCGAAGCTGGGGGGTTGGGGAGAGCAAGGGCGGGCAGAAGCGTTGGGGAGGAGAGAAGATGGAGAGAGGAATTTGGAGCGATTCGTGGGCAGTGGAGCAGCAGTTTGGGGCCGACCTTGAGGAAGCTCAGGTACCCCACCATGCGGTCCTCCTCCCGCCCGCCGCCAAACTTGGAGAGAACGGCCTTTACCGGGGCCGGCATGCCCTGGCTCTTGCCCCCTGCCATGGCGAAGCTGGGGCAGAAACCAGGGAAGGGGGGGGGTCCATGGGGAGGAGGGAAGGAGGGGAGGAGGCGATTCAGGACTTGAGGCGCATTGGGAACGAGCTATGAATACCATATGTGGTGCTCGAGAGGGGATAAGGGGGACGAGGGGACCATACCAATCCAATCACCATGTTGATGCATGCATGCGGAGGGTAGAGTCTAGAGGAAGGTACCTGCCGAGGGTGGTCATGGCCATGAGCTCGAGGGAGGACTCGAAGATGAGGCGGATGGGGATGCTCGTGATGCGCTGCTGCAGCCACTCGCACTGCCAGCCGTGTGAGGACAGAAGGGGGGTGGGGGGCGACATGTGGTAGTGGGGGAAGAGTGCGGAAGTTATGGGAAGGCTGATTGGTTACTAATGAAGACAGGTGGGGCAGAATATGGAGAACAGGTAACAGGAAGGAGCTTTGAACAAGAGGGCTTCCTGTTAGAGGCAAAACCGGTTGACAGGTGTGCCTGACTGGGATTCAAAGATGCATTGACAAAGTATTGCATTGAAGTCCTGAGACGACAGGCGCACCTCATCGTAGTCGAAAATAAGGCTGCCAAAGAACACATCTGCTCGTGCCAGTGCTTGCCAGTGCTTTGAGTCGACTCAAAACACAATCCAGTTAGGTCATGAAGGAACAGGCGCACCTCATCGTAGTCGAAAATAAGGCTGCCAAAGAACACATCTGCTCGTGCCAGTGCTGCCTCCATCTGCCATGCTCACATGCACACGCACGCGGCACAAGACGAGAGAGAGAGGGAGCGAGGGAGGTTGAGGGGTTGACAGTAGGACTGGGCTAAGAAGTCAGGTGTGAGCGCAGAGCAGCACACGCAGAGGTAGCAGCACACAAAAGCAGTTGGAGCAAGCATTGGATTGTTGACGCACCTCCTTGCTCTTGGAGAGAATGTCCCGATTGGAGAAGACAGAGAGACGGATGCCTGCATGGGACAGTACAGGTGAAAGAAGCACAGTTATATCAACGCCCAGGTGAATAGCAGGACACAAGTCAGAACCACTGCCACTCACCCACTCTCTCATAGCTACGTCCTAAACCCTGCTGCCCAATCTCAATCCTTGCATCCCATCCCCCCCCCCCCACCGCCCTTGTGATGCATCCACCTCACACCCGCTCCCCTGCCCTGCCCCCTGAGCGCACCAGGGCACTGGGAGCGCAGCTGAGCGGCAGCCTGCTTGTAGAGCGCCACGTTGAACGACTCAAACCCCGCCACCAGCACCATGCTCGCCACCTTGCAACCCATCCCCCCACCACCCACACCCAACGCGTACCAGGGCACTGGGAGCGCAGCTGGGAGGCAGCCTGCTTGTAGAGAGCCACGTTGAACGATTCAAACCCCGCCACCAGCACTATGCTCGCCACCTTGCGCTCCCCCTTCGCGCCCAGCCCTGGGATCACTGCTGCCGGGCCCTCCTCCTCTGAATCCGACCCTGATGATGTCTCCTCCATGGGCTGTGCAAAGGGGGACGGGGTGGGGAAGGGGAGATGGGAAGGCAGTGGGGGGTGCAGTGGGGGCGGGGGAAGGCAGTGGGGGGAGGCGTTTTTGGGATGGGAGGGGAGAGTGTGATGGTGGTTAATAGGGTGAGGAGAATGCAGTGCGAGGAAGGGAGAATGGTGCAGGCATATGAAAACAGGTGGTCAAAAGGAAATGGCAACGAGGGAGAAAGCGAGGGAGGGAGGAGTGGCGGAGTGCGAGGAGGGCCGTACAGCAGCGGCGGCAGTGCGGGCCTCGTCCAGCTGGTCCAGGAGCGCCCTGAGCTCCTGCCGTGTGCGATCGCGCCTGAGCGCCAAGCTGTGCACCTCCCGCTGGAAGGCTGTCCACTTTGACCGGTCCACCGAATCTGATGGTGGGAGTGTGGGAGTGAGAGAGTGCGGGAGTGCGGGAGTGAGGGAGCGAGGGAGTGCGGGAGTGCGGGAGTGAGGGAGTGAGGGATGGAGGGAGTGCGGGAGTGCGGGAGTGAGGGAGTGAGGGAGTGCAGGAGTGTGGGAGTGAGGGAGTGCAGGAGTTGGGGAGTGAGACATATCGGCCACATCCTGCACCGTTAGAATTGAGTGAAAGTCGTCAGATTGATAACATTGCGTGCTGATAGAGATAAGCTATCCGTCAGTGGAAACTCCCAACTGTATGCACAAAATTTAAGTTGATGGTGTTTGCGAACAAGTCAGTGTTGATGTTCGTGCCACATAGCTGCAAGGTCAGAGGGAGTGGATCATGAGTGGATGCTCTAAGCATGAATCCGCGTCTTGTACAAGCGATGACGCCAGTGAAGATGCAGCGGTACTACTCCTCCCACTCACCAATCAGGGCCTTCAGCACGGATGGCTCTGAACGGCCCAGATTGCCCCACGCCTCCTCATTCATGCTCTCAAACACGCGCGGGGGACAGTCATCAGCAGCAGCAGAAGCAGGCTGTTGCTCCTTCTCCCCTTCCTTTCCTTCCTGTTCGCCTGCTCCTGGTGCTTCAGCCGCAATCTCCACGCCAGCGAATGTCTCAGAATAGAGCTTGTCGATGTCAGCCTGCAGTTCATGTTCATTTGGGCAACATAAGAGACGGATACTATGCAGTCAAGCACATGTTACCTTTCATTTCTTCTGGATGTCTTAACCTTCGCAGTCTTGAAAAAAAAAAAGATACGTAGGAACCTGAAACAGGTAAGCAAATGGCGGATGTGTGACTATATCGGATGTGTACCTGTAGTTGCTCCAGCGCGCGTTGCTTCGCGTCCACTTTACCCTCCATCTCCTTAACGCGCTTCTCTCCCTCTTCCACCGCCAGCAAGAACGACTCCGTGCGACTTTGCTGAGCCTGCGACCCGCTGTCGTCGCCTGTCGCGACCACGTCATCTCTCGCTAACACGGATGTGACTGTAACGAAGCGAGACGACGTGGAGCGATGAACGGGGAAAGCGGAGGAAGAGAAACGAAGCGCGGAGATGCTTCCTGGAAGGAGGTCTGATTGGAGATGGTTGCGGCGACGGGCTGACACGTGTGCGATTCGAGCTGGAGTAATGGTCGAGCCGTCATTTCTCGAGCGAGGCGTGAGGAGAAAGCTAGAAGCGCGCTGGATTCCTGACGCTGCTAGTGTGGACTGTGCAATGGCGGAACTCGCCATGGCTGATACGCCTTCAATGTATACTCAGTATATTGTCAAGCGGATGTCCTAAATCTTCGGTGGCGCAGTAAACTAATAGTGCGTGTTAGGATAACAGGGAGCCGAATTCGGAACTTGCAAAGGGATTACAAGATTGCAGTAGGTGACGGATTGGAAATGTGATGTCACAGCACCAACCCAAGAACGCTACCGCAGCGCAGTCTGATAACCCTCGATGAACAATGGCTGACAGATTCGACCATGCGCAGAACTCCACAACACAGCACCGCACAGCACGGCACAGCACCGCACAGCACGGCACAGCACAGCAACAGCTGAAAATAGTCTGCTGATGTTCCCTCGGAACGAGGAAATTTGCTGTGCTGGCTTGGAGAATGAAGGGCTCGATGAAAGTGGAGGGATGGGAATGTCTGGAATTCGACTTCGAATGCGGTTCAAAACGGTGTGCATATAGTTTTGGCTCGGCGCGCAAAGAGTTCAAAGGCAAACTTGACAGCCCTGGGAACATATTTTCATGAATTCACTGTATGGTATTTTCACTGAACTGTATCGGCTCCGCGCCCTTGGGAATCGAAACTTCGAAGCCCCTTGAAAGCTCCACTTCTACTCGAGCTTCCCCAAGCGGAAAGGCGCATACGCGGTATAGAGATGTCGGTCATCTGAATCTTGTTTGGCTTTCCAGCGATGCACATGGAGCACTCACAGCTCGCCACGACACTCGAACTCATTTGCAGAACATCCACGTGGGAATTTTGCCACAATCACCTCTCCACCACAATCACAGGCCGAATGGCATTCTTGCTCAAATCCACCCTTCACCAAAATCTGCCCCTTCAGAACAAGAAATTAGCATCAGGCAATAGCGCAGTCTCATTTCACACAAGTAGGTCACAAGCTGCAGCAGCGCGATTTTCCGTTGGTTCAGGCGAAGTGAAATCGCGAGCGTGGTATCCTTCTCCGTTCTCAACCAGCCTTCGCGGCCGCAGCATTGCTTAAAGCCAGGATCTCAAGTAGTTCAATTGTTTTGCAGTTGGTGAGGGGAGCTGGGCTGCGATTGGTTAGCGAGGTGAACAATCTAACGAGGTGTGAAGCGAGGGGTGCGAAGTAAAGACAAATCGCAAATTCAGTCCGAACCAAGCAAGGCTCGGAAACTGGTTCGGTGACGAAGCTCCAATGCCTGCAATTTCTCGTCACACACAACAATCTCATGTACCAGCAAAATGTTTTGCATTTGCTCTAGGGGCAAAATCGTGGGTGTGCCGCACGCTCACTTTCCTAACCAGCCAGTCAATTCGCCTACAAAAATAGGGTAACAAGCGCTGCAAGTGTTTTGCAATTGAAGGCCAATTCTCTTACTTGAGATCCTGGCTTTAATTATCGTCGCATTTCTTTCCGAACGTTGACTTTCACAAACAGAATGTTGTCTGTCAGCCGTGTCCCAACAGCCACCACAGCCCCCACCATCTCACCCTCCCTTTCGCGCTCCCTTCCTTCACAGCGATCCTCTCATGTCGTCGTCGCAAACCCCCCTCAACCTCGCAATATCGCAACCAGAAGTCGTCTAGTTCACCACGCGCACCTGCAGCAGCATCTGTCTCCGCCAGTCGCGCCTTTCCTCGACCGCTCGCTGCTCTTGCCGCTCCGCGCTCGACGCCTTCCGCATTCCCCCTCCAGCGCACATGGCGCGCACCCGCAGCGGCGAGTGTTGCCGTGCCGAGCCAGCGGGTCGAACGGCGACGGCAAGGAGGAGCGCAAAGAGTACAGGTACGAGCGCGCGTGCACTGGTGGGGTGAATGCATGCATTGGTGCGTGGGACGCATGCTTGCATTGGTGCAATTAATAAAAGAATGTGAACATTTCCAGCCGTATGCCGAATTCAGTCCCACTTTCCGACCCCGCCTTGCCCCTTACACTACTTCCTGCTTGCCCCGCAACCTCCCACCTTCTTCCCCTCCCCGCCCTGCTCCCCGCTCTTCCCCCCACCCCCAACCCTCGCTCTGCGCAGCCAGGAGGCGCGCATGCGGCAGGAGGTGCTGAACCCGTTCCGCACGGTGCGCATGTTCCTGTTCGGCGCGTTCGGTGCTGAATCCCCCTCCCCCGCTTCCCTCCCCTTTCCCCGCCCCGCCCCCGCCCCCGTCCCCGCCCCGGTCTCCCCCGCAGCCAGGATGCGCGCTTGAGGCAGGAGGTGCTGAACCCGTTCCGCACGGTGCGCATGTTTGTTAGAGGGCCCTACGACAGCAAGGGCCCTCGATGACCTTTGACTTGGCAGGTCGGCGCCTAACGACTGAGTCTACTCGGCACCGACGCACGAGTTCGGTGGCGGTCATTAGTGACTACGGGTGACTGTGAGCTACTGCAGCGAACTCGGCGGAATCGGTGCTAGGAATGACGAGTCTTGGGGGTCGTAGGTGCCTTGCTTGTGAGGCACGCTGCTCACTTGCTGTGTTGGCAGGAGTTGGGTTGGAAATGTGCGGGGCGCGTTCACCCACCTGCACAGCACTTTCGTGTGGGTTGGGTTACTCGCAGCGCCACGCAACAATTGTGCAACTCTTGCTTGCCTATATATGTTTGTGTTTGCTTGTGTGTTTGATAATTGATATTGCAATTCTACTTGGCCCAAATGCTACTTCAATTCTCACAAAGTCCTTAGAGGCAAACGCTACCAAAACTCTACCAAGTTGCTGGCGCAACATCATTCCCATAGCAGAGACTCTCTCGCTATCGCTACGCTCTCTAATATATTCCTTCATGGTGCGGTGAGCGTGGAACGAACACGCATAGATTTTCGTCGTCGTTGATATTCGCGTTCGTATACTCGCCTTGGTGTGCGGCGTTAGTGAAGGGCGCTTATTAATCTAAGTTGAACCTCTCTTGATTTCCCTCCAGTTACGTTCTCGGACCCAAGGATAGGGCGTTTGGTAATTTATTACCACTCGTCTGAGGACCCTTGTGAGGTGACCCCGAGACGAGGGATTTAAGGAAGGGGCACTTTATTTTAATTTGTGGTACCTTATAGAGACGTCGTAGAGGATGAGTACAGAGGAGGCGAACGTGGAGGCCGGTAATTTGCGCGCCCTAGAGGAGGATCTCGTGGCTCGTCATTCTCGTGGTGAGATTAGTGATATCGAATACGAGCTAATGTTGGAGGGATTGCGCTCGCGTCGGCGTCGTGAGCACCCTTCGCCACGTGTAGAGAATGTTGAGCAAGTTGCGGGAGGTACTAGTGCGTGGGATATGGCTGTCGATGGCGGAAATAGCGATGACGAGGAGTTTGATGGGTTGATGTCGCGTGGGGTCCTGCGAGGACCAACTCGGTTTAGTACGGCTAGCGTTGGCGGTGTACAGGAGCGTGTTCATCGTGCAGCAGCGTCACGAGAGCATGCGAATGTAGGACGGCGGAGCGTTGCTGGAGGAGGAATTGCGGAAGAGTTCGATAGTGAGGCTATGCCGGGCGTTACCCCGATTGGATCGATGTCGAGGGACGAGGGAATAGCCCCTAACTATGGCTACTTCAGATTCACTCCACACAAGATCGTTGTCACTAGGCCGTTAGAAGGACGTCACGACCTGTCGACGTGGACAGAATCAATCGAGCCGCAGCTTGAGATCGCTCAGCTAAAGCGATTCATAGATGGCACCACCCCCATTCCACCAGCGCGTGCGCTTGCGCATCTCTCTCAGTTCCGCGCGATGCAGTTGCTGACATTCACCACCATTTCCTGATGCTGCTCCCCAACCGTACAGATCGCCCTTAAGGCGTGTCGCATGAAGGTCGATGCCGGCTATCAGGCATGGCAGTTTATTATGCGCACGTACATGGCGAAGGACGATCTGTACATCGGTCAGTTAGAGCAGGCGCTCACTAACCTCGAGATGGGAGAGCACGAGTCCGCTACGTCCTATTGCAACCGTGCGCAGCAGATCCTAGTGAACCTGAGGATGGCCGGCGTAGATTACTCGCAGGCGTCGTACATCACTCACGTTGTGAAGGGGTTGCCGCAGCAGTACAACCTCTTACGCAGGATGCTGAAGTTGCCGCAGGTTCGCAAGGAGTTGGACGAGGACACCCTCGCTAGCTACATCATCGAGGAGGAGTGTACGCTGGCGGCAGAGGGACGAAAGGACCAATTTCTTCCCCAGGCTAACCAGGTCTTTACCAAGAAGGGTAAGCCCCAATTCCAGCAGACTTCATTCCCTTCCCCTCCCACTACGGCACAGCAGCAGCAGCCTAAGAATGGGGGTGGGCTTGGTGGGGGAGGGGAGAAGTGGAAAGGGGGTAAGGATGGCCAGCCGAAGGGGGGGAAAGGGGGCTTCAAGGGGAAGTGCTATGTGTGTGGACAAATAGGGCATGTTGCTAAGTACTGTCAGCAGCGGGCGGATAAGGAGGCAGACACCGGTGGAGAGGGTTCTGGAGGTAGTAGCGGAAAGGGGGGTGATGGCTCTAAGGGGAGCGGGCAGTCATCATGTGCGATGGTGAAGCCAGTTGTGGAGCAGACTCCTCTCGTTGTGCTAGAGCCTGAGGCCGGGGAGGGCTTACAGGCTGTTGCAGCTGCTGTGAAGGCAAACCCGAGCGTCGTGCTGCTTGATAGCGGATGCTCCCACCATCTCATGGGAGATCGTTCTGCCTTTGTGGAGATGAGCAGCGGCGGCAGCATTAAGCAGGTTACCGGCTTCAACGGCGCCCTTCAGGAGGTGCAGGGGCGAGGCACAGTCGCTCTTCTTGGGGAGGGGGGCAGGCGTGTCTTGGTGCCGGACGTGCTGTACGTACCAGGAGTGTAGGCGAATCTTCTCTCTGCTGGGCAGCTGCGTGATAGTGGTGTGCAGCTGCTGGATGCCGGGGATGTGACTTTGCTGAGGGCACCAGATGGATCGCTCCTTGGTCGTGCGGAGTTCAAGGGGCGTGTTCTCTGCACGAACTTCCAGCCGTGTTCGACGCAACAGCAGGAAGGCGAAACGGTGGCACTTCGTACCTTGGCGACGGGCGTACGGTCTAAGGGGGACCTGTGGCATGCGTGTATGGCACACGTTGGTATTGATGCCATCGAGCGCACAGCGGCTCACGGGTCAGTGAAGGGCTTGGATTTGGAGAAGGGGGGCAAGTCAGGCATACCTTGTGTCTCCTGTGTTGGGGGAAAGATCACTCGTCATACCTTTCCTTCTGTGGGAGAGGAGGAGGATGAGTTGCTCGGGGTGGTGCATTCTGACCTGTGTGGCCCTTTCCGTGAAGCAGCTAAGGACGGCAGCCGCTACTTCTTGGTGCTGAAGGATCGCAAGACGCGATATGTCTGGGCCTACCCTTTGGCCCAGAAGAGTGATGCGCTGGCGTCGTTCCAGAAGTGGCTCCCGATGGCAGAGCGACAGTGCAAGACCACGGTGCAGGCGCTGCGCACTGATCGGGGTGGCGAGTTCCTGGGGCACGCCTTCACGCTCTTCCTCGACGGCAAAGGCATCATCCATGACCTCACATGCCCGTACACGCCGGAGCAGAACGGGATGGCCGAGAGGGAGATGCACAGCATTGTGGAGGCGGTGCGGACGATGTTGCTGCACATGGGTGTGCAGCATCACTGGTGGCACCTGGCGTTGGCTCAGGCCGTCTGGGTGCGCAACCGCGTGGAGCACGCCTCACTACCCTCTGGTGTGACGCCGTACGAGCTCGCCTTCCGACGCAAACCTGATGTCAGTATGGTGCGTGTTTGGGGCTGCATGCTGCAGTACATGGTACCACAGTCGCAGCGTGGGGGGAAGCTGGCGCCTAAGGCTCGCTGGGGGTTGCACTTGGGTGTGTCAGCTGCGAGCAAGGGCTGGGCCGTGCTGGACTTGGAGTCCAACCGCCTCATCACCACTGTGGAAGCTGTGTTCTATGAGACCATGTCCCTAGCAGGATGGAAGGCTTGGCATCAGCAGGAGCATGGGGGGCGTTCGATGCCCTATGAGCCCCTTCCCTCACTCTTCCCGATCACTCTCGAGGAGGCGGAGGAGGAGGAGGAGGTGGTCGCACCTCCTGCTATGCCCTATGTCCCTACCTCGGTCCCCACCCCACCTCCGCCTTCAGTCTACCCTCGTGTGATTCCCCCTGCCCCACCTTTTTCCTCCTCACCCCCCTTGGCTTCCCCTCCTCCTCCTGTTATTCCATCTCCCCTTCCACCCTCCATCCCTCCTGCACCTGCTCCGCCCTCTTCTTCGTCTTCCACGGCGCCGCCCGTTGGTGAGGGGGGGATGGAGGTGCCACCGTCTGTGGAGATCACCGACGGGCAGCGCCTTGAGACTGAGCAGCTGCAGGACGAGAGCAGTATGGATGGAGTACAGCAGAGTGGGGGGCAGGAGACAGGGGAGCAGCAGACAGGGGAGCAGCAGATTGGGGAGCAGCAGACAGGGGAGCAGGAGATGTGGGGAATTAGAGATGGTGGTCGTGTGTTGGTTTCTGGGACGACCACTGCACCACTGCGTCGCTCCACTCGCATCACTCGTGGTGTCCCGCCTGTTCGATACGCTTGGGCTGTAGTGGTTGAGCCAGCGGGCTTGGATGACGAGGAGGAGGACGAGGAGTGGACTAACCTGGACCCGGACGTGGCAGCTGATCCTGAGAGGCAGTGGGACATAGCGAAAATGACAATGAAGGAGGCCTTGGGCTGCTGGAAGGGAGACAAGGTGAAGGAGGCGATGGATGAGGAGATGCGGAGCTTGATTGAGCAGGGGACGTGGGAGTTGGTTCCGCGTCCGCCAGGGTTGAATGTGATGAAGAACCGCTGGATTTTGAACACCAAGTTCCGACCTGATGGGATAGTGGAGCGTGAGAAGGCGAGGCTGGTGGTGAAGGGGTTCACGCAGGTGGCAGGGGTGGACTATGAGGAGACGTACGCCCCTGTGGGAAGCTATGTGACGGCGCGTGTGCTTCTGGCGATTGCAGCTGCACTTGATTTGGACCTGATGCAGCTCGATGTGAAGAACGCGTTCCTCCATGGCGTGCTGGACCGAGACCTTTACATGGAGCAGCCGAGCTACTACGAGGATGGGACTCCTCGTGTCTTGTGCAGACCTTCGAGGATGTGGGATGGCAGTCTCGCCAGGAGGAGGAGTACAAGCAGAAGGTGGGATCCTTGCAGTTCGCGGCCTGTACCACCCGTCCCGACATCTCGTTCGCCTGCAGCAAGCTGGGGTCGGGCCAGACTGTGCGGAGTGATCAGCACTGGAAGGAGTTGGACCGGTGCTTGACGTACTTGGTGGGGAGCAGGGATGTGGCGCTGGAGTTTGGTGGTGGGCCGGAGTCCTTGGAGCTGGTGGGCTACGCCGATGCTGATGATGCAGGGGACAAGCAGAACAGGACCAGCACAGGTGGCTATGTCTTCGTGCTCGGGGGTGCTGCTGTCTCATGGGCGAGCCAGCGGATTCGTTGCGCCACCCTTTCCTCCACTGAGTCTGAGTACGTTGCTGCTGTGGAGGCTGGGAAGGAGGCGCGCAGGCTGCGCTTCCTGCTGGCAGAGTTTCAACTGCTGAGGAGTGAGGAGCCCACGACTCTCTTTGTGGACAACTCCTCCGCCATTTCAGTGGCAGGTGGCATGGGGCTCAAGGGGAGCCTCAAGCACATGGAGCGTCGTCACATGTGGCTGCAGCACATGGTCAAGCGCAGGAAGCTGCAGCTGCAGTACATCCCTACGAGCGAGCAGCCTGCTGACTACCTCACAAAGGCATTGCATTTCCCCGCCCTCAGTCGTTGCTTCGAGGCTGTGGGGCAGGTGCGGCTCTCGAGCGAGGGGAGTGAAACCTAGACACTCCATGATGTGGATGGTGCCATGGCCTATCCATGGCTGGTGCGGTGCGTGTTTACACTTTGAGCGTGTTTCGTTTGTGTGTATCCCTTTGTTTTGGTGTGTATGTGTGTATGCATGCCCTGTGATTATAAAGGGCCTTGCTGTAGTATGGCAGGGGAGTGTTAGAGGGCCCTACGACAGCAAGGGCCCTCGATGACCTTTGACTTGGCAGGTCGGCGCCTAACGACTGAGTCTACTCGGCACCGACGCACGAGTTCGGTGGCGGTCATTAGTGACTACGGGTGACTGTGAGCTACTGCAGCGAACTCGGCGGAATCGGTGCTAGGAATGACGAGTCTTGGGGGTCGTAGGTGCCTTGCTTGTGAGGCACGCTGCTCACTTGCTGTGTTGGCAGGAGTAGCGTGCACGGTGAGACATTCCGGTGCCGAGTTGGGTTGGAAATGTGCGGGGCGCGTTCACCCACCTGCACAGCACTTTCGTGTGGGTTGGGTTACTCGCAGCGCCACGCAACAATTGTGCAACTCTTGCTTGCCTATATATGTTTGTGTTTGCTTGTGTGTTTGATAATTGATATTGCAATTCTACTTGGCCCAAATGCTACTTCAATTCTCACAAAGTCCTTAGAGGCAAACGCTACCAAAACTCTACCAAGTTGCTGGCGCAACATCATTCCCATAGCAGAGACTCTCTCGCTATCGCTACGCTCTCTAATATATTCCTTCAATGTTCCTGTACGGCGCGTTCATCGCGTCCGCGTCCATCGGCGCGCTCATCACCGCCACCTCGCTGCTCGCCATCGCGGCGGGCGCGCGCGACGCGGATGCGCTGCAGATCCAGGACTCTCTCAAGGACCTCGGGATTGACGTGGCGGCTGTCGCTATATTCGCGTTCCTGTATCGGTGAGGCACGGGGAGGCGGAGGGTTGGGCTGGGTCAAGAACAAGGAAGGATTGGAACTGAACCGTATGAAGAAATACTGGAAAAGAGCGTCCTAGGCGCTCTGGAATTGAAGCAACAGACTCTGATTCAAGTCAACGAGGAACAGCAACACCGGTCAGTAGTAATCCATGCCCAAGTAAGAAAGGAATAGCAAGTCCCAGTCGCAACAGTGACGGGGTGAGACGCTCCTTCTAAGTGCAATTTTTTCCCTGCATCCCACATATGTCAAGCAATCCCTCCTACAAGCCAGACACCTCAACCCCCTTTCCAACCCCCATAATTGCGCGCTACCTGAACCGACACATTTGGCAGCTACTTCGGGCTAGACTGCACCCGAAGCTCCCCGTCCCTCCGTTCTTGCCCTCAGAAACCTTATGCCCCATCCATTTCCATCCCGGTCCCCATCCCCATCCCTTTCCATTCCACACCCCAAGGTCGGACGCCTGGGGCAAGGACGCATCTCTGAACCGGCTGACCCGGGAGGAGTCCCTGGCAAAGCTGCGCCTAGAACTGCCCACGGGGCGCATCGTGAGCCTGGCCCAGCTGCAGGGCACCTGCCGCCTCATCATTGTCGCTGGCCCCCTCTCCCACGTGCAAACCGCCCTTGCTGCTGCCGAGCCGTACCGCGCTGCACTCCTGGAGCGAGCAGTGGTGGTCGCTCCGCTTGTGACCGTGGGTGCGGAAGCAGGGGCGGCGGCTTCTGGGAATGTTGTTATGCCGGGGGAATTTAAGGGGTTTGCAGAGGTGGTGGATCCGGCTTGGGGGGGTGAAGTGGCTGGGGATGGTAATGGTGGGGGAAAGGTGGGACAGGTGGGTGGTAATGCACAGGCTGATACAGCTGCCAGTGGGTTGCTTCAGAGGTGGATGGGCCGGCCAACTTACACCGACGAATGGAACAGGTGAGAATTTGCTGGGTTAGCAACCGATAAGTTGCTGGATTGCGCTGGTTGTGTAATCGCTGTGTTCTGACTGTTTTGTGTTTTGTAGATGGTTGAAGGAGCAAATGAAGTTTGCCAATGTGGCTCCAGGATCTCCAGTGTAAGTCCACATGTCCCAGATTTCCTGTGTTTTCCATTTCTACATTCATGTGAGGGACTTCTAACTTTCAAGCTTTCTTGGGTGCTCTGGCTTACCTCTATACTGAGTTCATTTTGACAGGTACATTTCTCTCCGACTAGATGGGCGCGTGCGAGCTAGTGGAGTGGGATATCCTCCCTGGAGTGTAATCGCTGCTCAATTACCTCCAATGAAGGGAATGTGGGCTGGCCCACTTGATGGAATGGATGGCCGCGTTTTGTAATTAGACGTTTCTTTGCAATACAATCTTATCTGAGAGCTTTTCATGATAACTTCCCTAAAAGTGTAGATTCGGAACCTAAGAGTGTACAATTATGAAATTCAGATTCTGATGCGGTACTTCACTTGACCTGGCGGAAACTCGACGAACTCCGTTAACTTGCCGTCCAAGCAAACATCGCTTCGATGATGGTCATCGGTCACGCGACCCACACATCTCCGCCATGCTGGAACGGATGCTGTATTCACGACCGACATGACTCATGGGAACTCGCGAACATACCATGCGGTGTGGTTACCGCAATGCTCTACTTCCTCGCGTGTCCCACAACCTTGCTCAATGCTGAAATGAAACCCTAACGCCAACGGTAAACAAGCAGGAAAACCATTATCAAGGCTCCCTTCGCTTCAGTTCTCTAGTGTTCGAACCTTGTTCTGTTCTTCTCGGTTTGTCCCATTGTCTCTTCCTTGTTCTAGTATCCTCTTGCCGCCATGGAAGCCGCCCACGCCGTCGACGCGCACCTCATGAAGAATCAGGGTCCTGACGTGGAGGCGGGCCCGTCGAGCGATCTGCTTTACCCAGGAATTACGCTGTCCGAGAATGAGATGCGATGGGGATTCATTCGGAAGGTATGCTGCATGCCGTAACGTTCTTCGCGGCAGGCTCGCTGTTTCTCTTCTTCTGTCGTATCTGTCATGGACGTCATTTGCACGCCTGTTTTTTAAGCTAGTCCACGCGACTGGCTTTTTTCGTCGTGTGTAGTAACACCGTTCAGAATGGAATGTGTTGGATCATCATGCAGCACTATCAGTGAAGGAGAAGATGGCTCGAAGCGGAGGCGCGCGATAGCGCTGTTGTTCCTCGAGCATGTTCTTAGTAGATTTTGCTCACTGATTGCTCTACTTCCGCAGGTGTACGGCATTATTGGAGCACAACTCCTGCTCACCGCAGCCGTCGGATCGTGCTTCGCTCTCATCCCAACCGTCCGCGACTTCGGCCTGACCAATGGATACTTCATGTTCTTCGCCACCATCCTACCCTTCGCCAGTACGTCCCTTCGTCTCGCTCCACGTTCCTCAGTCAGTGTGTCTTTTCGCCTTCCGTTCGCCGCTCATTTATTACCTTCGCTTCATTTTTATCCGCCTCCTTCCAGCAAATGTTCGATTCTCTTTGCTTCAGTTACTTGTGACGGTCAATTCTTTTAGCTAGATAGGTCGGCTCTGTTTGTTTACGATGGGCCTCGTAAGATTTTCTCGTACGTCCTTCATCTATTCTGTGCGCAGCGCTCATTCCGCTCGTCATTTACCGGTCTCGCCATCCTCTCAACCTGGCCTTGCTCGCAATCTGGGTACGTCATCTTGGCACTTGGTGTGCATGCTCCTCCGTTCCCTGCTTTCGCGTACCGCTTACGGCTTTCGCTGGTGACTCGTTGTTATTTTCTCGTTTTGCGCTGTCTGTCTGACGTCAGAACCCTTTCTTCGCCTTTCAATGTCCTCACTCACACCGCTCTTCTCCCCGTCCCCTCTTCCGTTCTTCCCCTCTTCCGTTCTTCTCCTTTTCCCCTCTTCCGTTCTTCCCCTCTTCCCTTCTTCCCCTCTTCTCCTCTTCCCACACCCTCTCTCCACCTCACTTCTCTCCGCCTCTCGCCTCCCGTCCCCCCGTGTGTCTGACCGGGCAGACGGCGTCCATGAGCATGACTGTGGGCCTCATCTGCAGCATGTACAGCGGTAAGCGTCGCACGGGGTTTCTGGCGGTGTGTGAAAACAACGGGAAGATCAGATGGGATGAGGAGGGATCATGGGGTGTGTGAGGCTGGGAAGGGTTCCTCTGTGGGTTCCGTTCAAGCCCTCTCTGTTTCCAGCCTAGTGTATCCTTCTCGCACGTTGTTTCGCTCCAGCACATATTCAGAACCTTTCTGTTTGTCCCCCTTCCCAAGTCTCTACCCCCCTCCCTTTTCCCCCCCTCCCCCCCGTTCCCCCCCCCTTCCCGCTTCTTTGACGGCCTCCCGTTTCCTACACCTTCCATTCCGTTCATATGTTTCCATCATTTTCTGTCCTTTCTGAAGCTCCCTAAAGCTTTTCTAGTCCTTATTTGTTTCTAGCCAGAGAGATCCATGGACCCACTCGTACTCTCGCTCCCTCCTTCCCACTGTGTCCGCCTGTTTCCTGCACCAGGGCCCATAGTGGTGGAGGCCCTCGGCCTTACAGCTTCAGTGGTGCTGGGGCTCACAGCGTACACCTACTATGCTGTCAAGAAGGGACAGGAGTTCAGGTGCTCTCTCGCCTCCCCTCTCTCTGTCGCTCTCTGTCTCACACTCTCACTCTTGTCGTTCCCGACTCTTCTCCTTGTGTCTACTGCCTTTTCTGGAACCCGTCCTCGTCTCTTCTTCCCTCCCCCTCGCATGCCACACCCCCTCCACCCTTGCTCTCTCTAGCTACCTGCTCCCTATGCTGTACGCGGATCTATGGCTTCTGCCTACTCAGTGCTTGTTCCAATCTCTCACCTCTTTGCATCCCTCCCTCTTGTTGTCCCCACCCTGCTCCAGCTACCTGGGTCCCATGCTGTACGTCAGTCTCTGGCTGCTGCTCGGCTGGTCTTTCATCCAAATTTTCTGGGGCCTCGGCAGCGAGTGAGTCGTAGCTTTCGTCTCTTCACCTGCATTAGTGTTCAGTGGTACACTTGCTGGTGTTTGTCTGTGTACCACACGTAAAGCGATTTTCATGTGTAAAACATGAGGGAGCTTGGTGATTCTGTTCCGTACTGTCATGTTTCCTAGCGCCCCTGATGTTGTCACTTCTGTTGGGTTGCATGCCACTCTGTCCTGCGTATCTCATGTTTGCTTGTGTGTTTCCCGTGTGCAGGTTCGCCCTGGCGCTGGTGGGTGCCCTCATCTTCGCCCTCTTCATTGTGTACGACACCGACCTCATTATCAGGCGTAAGTAACCGCGTTATTCTCACACATCGGTGCAATGAATTGATCTCACAGTACTTGAGCAGGATCCCTTATTACCCTAGTTTATATGCCTGACTGCAGTGATATCTTCGTGTGAGCTTGCATTTACCTACTGCCACTATGTTCTGTTCCCTGTGTGTGCAGGGTACTCATATGATGAGTATGTGATGGCAAGCCTCAACATCTATCTTGACATCATCAACCTCTTCATTCGCATGCTTGAGATCTTGCAGTACCTGCAGGGTAAGAGGGCGCTGTTCTGCTTCTTGTTCGAGCTTTCAACGTTTGGTTTTAGAATTTCAAGTTTTGCTGCTTTTATGTACATGCATTCACTAATGGCAGTCACTTTATACTTATGGATCTGTTCTGAAATTGACTTTCTGGCATGTGCAGGCAACAACTGAGAAGAGTTTCAATCGGCAGGGCATGAAGCGATGCCTTTCTTCTGCTCATTGTATATTGTTGTTATAGCTGTAGGCCATCATAGTGCTGTTCCTGTCGCGTGAGATATAGTTTATTTTTATCAGACCTTGACCCCCAAACCTCCTAGTATATTCAAGTGGTTACAGCACTCTCCTCTTCACATCTGGTATATTGTTTAGTTGTAAGCGTTCATGATGTACACCTAAGAGATGCGCATCGCTGCCAAAAGTTCCGTTGTGACGAGTCGCGTCAAGAAGTAACAATTATTGGTGTTGCAGACGACAAGCGCTGCGATTGAAATGTAATCTGATGCGATGAGATGGAATGGGATTTGAATGGGTTCGGAAGGGTTGAGATTATTTTTACACTCCAACGCGCCGTGGAATGAAATCCATGTAGATGGTTCCAGGCAACGATTCCCTCTCACGTGTTCTATACTCGGGATTCGGAAACCCTTTTCATAAGGCCGAAAGAGAGTCTCCAAGACGCTTCATCTTGGCCATAAGCCTGCTCCGCCGCTCTTGACGTCTTTCTTGTCACCGTCATTGCAGAGCCGAAGCTCGCTGTGTAGGTTGTGCAGAATTGGTCAGATTCTCCGCATTGGGTTCGTCAGTGGCTTCACGGCAATAATACCAGACCCTGCTTAGAGTAGGGTCCCGTGTAAACAATCCCGCGTCGCAGCGCCTTGCTCATGATTAGGCTTCAGGGTTTTTTTTAGATATTTATTGAACGTACGAGATTCGCCAAGCGGCGATGGCGCTAGATTCGACCGTCGCACTGAGTGGCACATCTGCGGCACGTAATAGCGCAGCTCGCGCCGCTCCGCGCGCCGTGCACACCAGAGTGCGCTCGATTCTCGAGGCGCCTAAAAAATCGACTCTTCACACCGGCGGAATGCGCTCGCACCGCCGCGTTTCCCGCTGGAATAGGTCCATTCGTCTAACCCGGCGGCCACCGGCCCTACTAGTATCGCTACTCGTAGTCGTCGCTGTCTTGGGCAACGGCAGCAGTCATGGCAATAGCAGCAGCCTGCCGCGCTATACGCCGTGCTGTTCCCCGTCCCCTCACTCTACTCTCGCCCCTCACTCCCCTCACTCTACTCTCGCCCCTCACTCCCCTCACTCTACTCTCGCGCCTCTCGCGCGTCTCGCGCGTATCGCGCCTGACGCGCATCACTCCATCAACGCGCTTCAACGCGTCTCGCGTCGTCTCCTGCAAGAATCGTCCGCCTCGCCGCCTGGCAAGTCCCATCCGCCGCGCATGCTCCCTGCCCCTTCCTCCCCGCGCATGCGCGCTGCCCCCTCCTCGTGCATGTGTTTGACTCCCCCTCCCCGCGCATTCGCGCTGCCTCTCTCCCCGTGCATGCGCGCTGCCCCTTTTTTCGTTTTCAGACTTAATGCGCATTCCGCTCCTTTTTTACATTCCACGCCCCCACCCCCCAACTGCTCCTCCCAGCTACCCCCCTTAGCCCCGCCCTCCCAGTTACTCTTTCTCCCCTCTCGTGCCCTCCCTTCCCCGCCCCGCCCCTCCCCCCGCCCCTGCGCGCGCCAACCTATCAGATGGCTGGAGAATCCGTTTGCAGTCGCGCCCTCTTCTCGTTTCATTCATCGCCACGGTCCTTTGTGCTGCAATCATCCTCGTTATAGCCAGCATCGGTTTCTGCATGTGCTGCCGACAAGGTGCGGTCCCCCATGCGCTGCTGCTTCTGGTAACCTGGTTTCCTTGTGTTTCACGGTTGTGGTTTCAAGGTTATTGGTGTTGCTGCTCCTCCTTCCCTCACCACTGTGGTACTTCCTGACGCCTCTCCTTGCCATGGGCCATGGCTGGTGGTGTGCTGCCCTGCGCTTCCATGTGTCATATGTTGCATGATGCCGCATGGCTTGGCTTGGCTTGGCTTAGCTTGGCATGGCATGGCATGGCATGGCATGGCACGGGATCACTTTCCATGTGCAGCGAGGAGAGCAGAGAGCAGCTTCGATGAGGTGTTTCTAGCAGACTACATCGCCCGCTCCACCCACCACTGCGACTCTTTGCTCAGGGTATCTCCTTTTCCTCTCCCCCGCACGCCCTGTCGCACTCTCTCCCATGGCAGCGAGGAGAGCAGAGAGCAGCTTCGACGAGGCATTTCTGGCAGACTACATTGCCCGCTCCACCCACCACTACGACCCCCTTCTCAAGGTATGCCTCCCCTCCCCTCCCCTCCCCTCCCCTCCCCTCCCCTCCCCTTTGTTCTTGAGGCGCCTCTAATTTTCATTGCCTGCTCCACCCACCACTACGACCCTCTTCTCAAGGTATACCTCCCCTCCCCTCCCTTTCCCCTGCACACACCCTCTCACTCGGTCCCTCTGCACCACGCAGTCGCTCACTCACTCATTCCCTCACTTCCTATTCACTCACTCCCTCCTGCATTCACTCACTCACCTTCAAATCCTTGTTGCAGCACTTTCCTTCACCTCTCCACCTCCCTGCACTGCTGATCACCCATTGGTACCCCTCTCCATACCTCTCCACCTTCCCTCCAACACCCTGTAGTTCTCCTCTTCCCCCGTCCACATCCCTTCTCCACTCCACCATTCAGCTTGGTTCGGGTCCTTTTGGAGACTCCTTCCCATGCTCCGGACCAGAGGGCGAGCCTTGGCTTGTGGTTCGGGCCACCATACCTGATGGTTTGGCAGGTGCCACGTGGCTGCCTTGGACTGGTGCAGCTGCCAAGAGAAGAGCGTTCAACGAGGAAGTGAGTGAAAGGGAGTGAGTGTTAGGGAGTGAGGGATAGGAGTGATGGTTAGGGAGTGAGTGATGAGAGTGAGGGATAGGGAGTGCGGGATCGGGAGAGTGACAGGGAGCAGGCTCAAGCTGAAACAATCCCATTTCCTCGAAGCACGAAACTCTGTCTTCCCTCCTGTTTCACCTCTCACCTCTCACCTTTCACGTCAACTCCCCAGCACTCACCCGCACATGTGTCCATCCTCAAATGCACATCCCACCCCAACCCACGCACGGCAGATTATTTCGTGTGGGTTCAAATTTTCGGCGTATGAGAGAGCGAGAGAGAGAGAGGAACCTTAGTCCTCTGCCCTCTGCCTCTCCTCTCTGTCCTCTGCCCTCCGTGCCTACTTAAGGGCTGTTCTTGCCTCTCCTCCCTCATTATTTCGTGTGGGTTCAATTTTTCGGCGGCTCGCGCCGGCGGCCTTCGGCGCGCGCTCCTGGTGGCAAGGAACAAGGCAAAGGATCGACAACTACCAGGAAGTACACACACGCAAAGGAAGCAAGGGAGCAGGGCCTCAACAAGACAAGACGGCATGCAGTTCTACACTAGGCGGAGGCCTACATCGTGTACGGCTCCGCCCCCTCCACCTCCAGCATCGAGCGCATGCACGCCGACACCGCAAGGAGGAGATGCGCCGACGACTGAAGTGTGTCCACAGGGGTCCCGGCTCGAGCCGCCTCTACAAGATCCCCCACGTGGCGGGGGAAGGTACGCGCTAAGGGAGCTACCCCGGCGGGCGCTTCCGACACTGGTGCCAACGGCGACTCGAGCGATTCTGCCAAAGACACGCAGGACCCTCGGGATCCTGGACCGTAACTGCTCGGAAAATTCCGCGTGGCCCCACACACCGCCAGCTGCAAGTTCGCCACAACCTCGCACGCCTCCGCCAGATTCAGAATCCGGCACATGGTCAGCATGGGGTCTCTCCCCACGTGACTGGGGGGAGGTACAGTCGGTGCTGCGCGCGGGAACGCCGACGGCCAGCCAGGAGTCCGGCCAACAGAGAAGCGTGGCGCGGAGAAGCCTGGGACCTGACGAGGGGTGCGGAACTGAGCCCTCCCCTCCCGCGCGGGGAGATATTCGCGCAGCGTCGGCGCGCGCAGAGGAGCCACCTGGACTGGGTCCGCGGCGAAGGGAGGACCGTTGGTCACCTCTATGTGGACATGAGTCGGCTCCCCACTCGCCCGCGCCTGCCGCACCACTTCCGCAAACGCATTCGTGGCACGATCGAGGGCAGGATCCTGCCCGCCACCATTTCCGCCGCGCCCACCGCCATTCCGCCGGGCCCGCCGACCTCCGGAACCAGCCGAGTGCGGACGCGTAGAGGACTGCTCGCGTCGGCCCGAATCCCAACGACGTCCAGGCGACCCCCTCCCCCGCGTCGCCGGAGATCGCCGCGGAGAGCGTTGCGCGGGGGATCGCGCTCGGGGTGAGCGCTGGCCTGCCCGACCACGTGGAGATGGGCGGCGAGGAGAACGAGGACGCGCAGGGGATCTCTGATCGCCCTCCCTGCGCTGATGAGCTTCGCGACGCTCAGGAGATGGACGGCGAGGAGAGGGCTGCCGAGGAGGCTGATGCGGAGGCGAGCGCCCACGCTCCTGCCGCGGCTGACCGTCTGGGCGGTTTGACGCAACGCGGGCAGGGGCCCACGAATACTCCGGCGAGGTGGGGCGCGCGGCTGGCCGATGGGGAAGAGTTAGCACCCGTTCGAAGCGGCGGACGGGCTCGCTCGCGGAGGGGTGCGCAGTGACACGCGGACGATGCCCGGCAGGCGCAGGCTCCGGCAGCGCGCTCTCCGCAGAGCCCTCCAGCTCCAGATCCCGCCGAGCAGATGGGTCCATCACCCCCGAGACTACCGCAGCCGACGCCAGCGCGCCGACAAAGCGAGGACGAGGCGGACGCTGCGCGTCAGAACGAACGTGCGGGGGCGGGTGGAGGAAGAGCCACGCGGGGAATCCGCGTGGGACGCGGCAGCAGCCGCGGCGGACGGCGTGGGAACGGGAGAGGGCGACGAGGAGGAACACGCGGCTCAAATCGGCGCCGCACTGGTGCGAGCGCCTACGCGAGGACTGCAGAGAGGCTGATGCGGGAAGGCGCGGAAGGCGGCGAGGAGGCAGCTAGCGAGGAAGCGGAGGAGGAAGTTGAGAACGATGGAAGTGATAGGGGTGACCCGCCTTTTAACCCCAAAAGAGAGGGGATGTTGGAAGCAGGGGCTGAGGAGGACGAGGAGGAGTTGGAACTTCTGCTTCGGGAAGCAGAGGTCCCAAGCCTGACCGCCCGAGGTGAACCTGCAAACCGAACCACAGCCCAACATCGAGCCGCGGGAAGAAATCAAGCAAGGGGGGGAAATCGAGCCGCGACAGAGAACGGAGTTGACTCTGCAAGAGCCAATGGGAATTCAGCAGCCCCAATCCCAACCCCCCCAATGCTCAAACCTGACGACCTGGCGAAAAACACTGGCCTGTTCGCGCAGGTCGCAAACTGGGACCTCGCCCCTTTGCGCGACAGTCGCCAACCCCCCCTCGCCCGCCACCCCCCAAAAGATCTTCGCGAGTCCTTCGCGATCTGCATGCTAACACCGTTACTACACCTGGCAGCCAACCCCGAGTCTGAACCAGGCTGGAAGTTACTGACTTTCCTCCCGCGCATTCTCCTTCGCAGCTCGTCAGCGCGCAAACCTGACTGGAGCGCGATGATGAATCGTCTCCTGCGATTTCGCCAGGGGTTCTGGAGCGACCTATACGAAGAAGCTGCTGTGGCGATTTCCCTCCCGCCGCAGCCTCGCCACGCACCTGACACAACCGGAATCCTCGCCAGGGCGGAGGGACTTGCGAAGCGTGGTAACCTGTCCAAATCACTGCAGTCCCTGCAAGCCACACCCGTGTCACCTGCCTCACCTGAAGTACTCGAGGCACTCACGGCGAGACACCCACCTGCTTCCCAAGTTCTCCCCGCTTGGCTACACACCGCCACCACAGACAACCCACCCGCTATCGAAGCCCGCGACTTCAGGAGGATTATCGCGAAGCTCCCCAATGGAGTAGGGGCGGGCCCCTCAGGAACAACATTCGAGCACATCCGCGATGCAGCTCTAGGAAACGCCGAAGTTTTTACGCACCTCTTAGCACTCTGCAACACGGCACTCGCAGGGAAATTACCGGCCGTAGCGGGGGAGCTCCTTACCGCCTCTCGCCTGCTAGCATTTACGAAACCTCACGGAGGGACGAGGCCGATCGCGGTTGGCGAATGCATCCTCCGAATCATCGCCAAAGCCGCGCTCTTCCAGATCGCGCCGGCCGCTAGATCGCACTTCGTCCCCCTTCAGTTCGGCGTGGCAGTAGCAGGGGGGATTGAAGCAGCCATCCACACGGCGCGTACTTACCTGGAGATCCACCCCGGAGCAGTGGCGCTTCAAATTGACCTCGCGAACGCGTTCAACGCGGTCGAGAGGAGAGCTGTGTTCGAGGGATTAAGGAACGAGGCGCTAGAGAGCCTCATCCCCCTGGTCCGCTTTTCCTACGGAGTCCCCTCATCCCTCTTCCTCGACCACGACTTCGCCGCTGCTCCCCTGCAAAGCGCGAGAGGTGTACGCCAAGGGGATCCCCTAGGGCCCCTTCTTTTTGCCGCCAGCATCCACCCCTGCCTCGTTGCGACAGCGGCGGCCCACCCGCAGGTCGTCCTACTCGCCTACGCCGACGACATCACTCTCCTCGGTGAAGCGTCGGCGTGCTCCGCGGCCTTTGAGCACCTCACGACCGCGCTGGCCTCCATGGGGCTCCTCCACAACCCGGCCAAGTGCGCGGCCTGGTCCGCCGCCCCAATTGACCCTGCCTCCGTTCCCCCCGGCATCACCATCTCGAGCGAGGGGCTGCAAGTCCTCGGCAGCCCCATCGGCACGCCACAGGGCTGCGCATCGGCAGTAAGGGACAGACTCACGGCGGCAGCTGAACCACTCCCGCTGCTAGCTCAAATGGACCCACAGCTCTGCCTCCTCCTCCTTACCCGCTGCGTTAGCCGCCGCGCCTCCTTCCTGGCGAGGACAACCCCGCTGGAGGTCCTCCCCGTAGCGGAATGGTCGGCCTGGGGGGAGCAGCTGCTCCATACTTTCCTAAATGCTGCTCACATTGTCACTCCGAGGAGCAACGCGGAAAGGAGGCGAATTTGGCGGCAAGCCTCGCTTCCTGTAACATTGGGGGGTTTGGGCATTACTGATCCGGCATTGGAAGGAACTTACGCGTACCTCGCATCAGTAATCGGCGCTGCGCACCTTCTTCACTCGCTCGCCGACTCCCTACACCCCGCCATTTCCGCTCTCCTCCCCCTTATGGACTCTGTTCCGGACTCCGCAGCGGCCCTACCCTCGCGCTTAGCAGAAGCTGACGCGGCCCTTCCTCCAGAAGCTCTGGAGGCCCTGCAGGCTGGAAGAGGGGACCCCAAGGGACTGAAGCTCCAGCAGTCCCTGGCCTTGGCAGTCCACACACGCCGCTACCTGCGAGTGCTTAACAGGGCGCGGCGGATGCGCCCAAACCCCCTCCTGGGGCATGCCCAGCGAATGCAGTCCCTGCTGGGCCCAGGAGCTGGGGACTGGCTGCTGGCGATCCCCCTCACGTCCGCGCTGAGGCTGGGCCCCCCCCAACACTCTACTGCTTCCGCCTTCCGCCTAGGCCTCCCCCTCCCCGTCCCGAGGCGGTGCGACTGCCGATACCGCACCACCTTCCCTGATGACCGCCTCCCGAACCACCTTATGCGCTGCGAGAAGGGGAGAGGGAGGACTGCCACACACCATGCTCTCAGGGACGAGATTGCAAGGATAGGGGCAGAAGCTGGCTTCACAATTCACAAGGAGACCTATGCCTATTCTCTGGTTGAAAACCTCAAAGCGGATGTCTCCATCCGCCATCCCCTGACCGGAGAAGTGTGGCTTTGTGATGTGACCGTGACCGACCCAGTGTCCTATCAGGACGAGAACTGCAACCGCGCACCAGGTTGGGCGGCTAGGGCGGCAGCTACTAGGAAGGAGGAGAAATATGCGGGCCGGAACGCGTGGGTGGGGTTCCACGCCTTGGCCGTGGAGACCTATGGCTACCCGTCTCCAGGGGTGCTGGCTTACCTGCGGCAGTGCGCGGAGCTGGCTGCGAAGCTCCGCTACAATGCGGCCCCCACCTCCCGGGAGGCTGCCAAGCTGCTGACGGAGTACCGCCAGTGCTGGAGCGTCTGCCTCCAGAGGGCGCAGGCAAACGCCCTCCGCACCAAGACCAATGAGGCCTTGGAGGCGGACGAGCTAAGCCTGCAAGGGCCATGGGCCCCTCTGAATGAGGGGCAGCTACACCAGCTGATTGAACCCCCGTACGACCACTAGGGTCGGACAAGGGGGGGGGCGGGAGTAGGGTAGGCGAAGGTTGATAGGTTTGCTTGTTTGCCTAGTTTGCATGTGTCTGCTTCAACCTCTGTACCACCCTTCAACTAATACACGGACCATTCGAGAGTGACAGGGAGCAGGCTCAAGCTGAAACAATCCCATTTCCTCGAAGCACGAAACTCTGTCTTCCCTCCTGTTTCACCTCTCACCTCTCACCTTTCACGTCAACTCCCCAGCACTCACCCGCACATGTGTCCATCCTCAAATGCACATCCCACCCCAACCCACGCACGGCAGATCGTCCGTTTTTCTGGTCTGTCGCATCCCCACCTGCTGCACCTGATTGGCTGGAGCGACCAGCCTCTGGGGCGGCCGGGCGGCAGCAGACGGCTGAGACAAGTGGGGGAGAGCATGAGGCAATGGGCGCAGATCCTGTGGCGGAAGAGAGGCGCGCAGGAGCAGGGGGGGGGGTGGGGGGGGAGCGGGGCGCGGAGTGGGTGGGGGGTCAGGGCGAGGCGAGGGTGAGGGTTCAGGGCGAGAAGCAGACGGTGGGGAAGCATGGATGCAAGGCAGAGCAGTGGGAAGTGCGGGTGGAGAGGACGAAGGGGAGAAAGAGGGGGAAAAAGGGAAGGCGGGTGACCAATCTGCTGCTTCGTCTGATTGTCGAGTGGAGGTAGGAGGAGAGGGAGTGGGGAAGGTAGGGAAGGGCGGGAAGGGTGGGGAGAGTGTAAGGGAAGGGAGGAAGGGGAAAGTGGGGCGAACACAGTGCGCACCAGAACCAGATGTGGGGGAGGCAGGAGGTGGGGCGTGGGAGGCAGAGGGTGGGGGAGGAAGAGAAGAAGGAGCAGAAGCAGGAACATCAGCAGTAGCAGGAGGAGGAGCAGAGGAAGCAGCAGGAGGAGGATCAGAAGAAGCAGCAGGAACAGGAGCAGGAGCAGCAGCAGCAGCAGCAGCAGCAGCAGCAGCAGCAGCGGCGTCGGCATCAGTGGGAGGGAGAGGAGGTGGTGGGGGGAGGGAGCTGCTGCTGCTGTACGAGTGGTCTGACCAAAAGACACTGTGTGCTCGCTTGCAGACACAGAGGGAGTTGATGATACAGGGCAGAGACAGAGGTGAGTACTCACCCCCCTTGCTGTGGCTCTTTGATACAAAAGAAGACTCGTCGTGGGATTTGTGGATACAAGCAGGTCGGTCATCGGGCACAGAAATCGCAGCGGCCGTTCCTTATGTGGGCCCGATGCGCTGCATGCGCACATGCACATGCGCATGCGTTGCTCACCACATTCCCTTCCCCTTCCCCTCCCCTCCCTTCACACCAGACGCACAGTCCCCCCCACCGCTGGCCTTCTCTCAACAATTAGAACAATTAGAAAGACCACTGCCGACACCGCTAGCCACAGCGGTGGCGGAGGCGCTGTGCCATCTGCACACGGCCACCAGCCAGCCACTCCCCGTGTTACCCTCCTCTTACGACGTGCGCACTCCCCATATTCCCCATGTTACCCCAGACGCACAGTCACCCCAACCGCTCGCTTTCTCTCAGCGATTGGACATAGCCACGGCCATTGCAGAGGCACTGTGCCATCTGCACACGGCCGCCCAGCCCCCTCTGGTGCACCGCCGCCTCTGCTCCTCCTCCGTCTTTCTTGAAGTGCTGCCTGTGGTGAGTGTGCTCGTGTCTGGTGTGTGTGTGCACACATACATCACTTTTTGAGGCGCCTCAAGAGGCCACCCAGCCCCCCCTGGTGCACCGCAGCCTCTGCTCCTCCTCTGTCTTTCTTGAAGTGCTGCCTGTGGTGAGTGTGCTCGTGTCTGGTGTGTGTGTGCACACATACATCACTTTTTGAGGCGCCTCAAGAGGCCACCCAGCCCCCCCTGGTGCACCGCAGCCTCTGCTCCTCCTCTGTCTTTCTTGAAGTGCTGCCTGTGGTGCGTGCGTGCAAGATGTATGACACGTTATTTATATTGCATATTAGATCATGTATAGATGTGTACCGCGATTGTAGATGTCCATGTATATGTGTAAATGCGTATATATACGTGTATGTGTGTGTATGCTATACATGTGCACAATATTTCTCACACGTGCGTGCGACCACCCCCTCCAGGCCCGGTTGGCGAATCTCGGCATTATCAAGGGCCTACCCAGCTCTCCCAGCTTAATGCAGCAGTGCCACGTGGCAGCTTCTCATAGGGACCCGGACTGGTGGGAGCGCATGTGGCCAACCCCCCGCACCGACATCTACGGGTGGGTTTCCTTGTTTGTCTCCCCCATGTGTTTCCGCACTGAGACTGCTCACTGTGACTCCTCACTGCGAATCCCCAGTGCGGTTCCTAGTGCTGCATATGGGTGCAGCAACAGGTCATCCTCAAGGCGCTTTCTAGACGCGGTTCTTAGTGGTGTATATGGGTGCAGATTGCCGTGCATGCCTGCAGCCATTCTCTAAATTCTTTTACCGTTACCTGCCTTCACCTCTCACACCCCCCCACACCTCTCACCACTCCTGTCTCACCCCTCTCCTCTCACCCCTCACCCCTCTGCCTCACCCCTCCAGCCTCGGCGTCATAATGCTCGAGCTCCTCTCAGGCTGCCCAGCCAACCTCAAGGACCTTCTTGAGGCGCCGCAAATATCTTCTACTCTTCTCTCACGCCTCACCTCTTGCTCTCTGCCCCGCCCCGCCAGCCTGGGAATCATAATGCTCGAGTTGTTCTCGGGCTGTCCAGCCACCACCACGGACCAAGCCACTGCCAGCACCGCCACCTTCGATGTGCGCCAGGTGGGCCTTCCGCTGCCCCTACTGCCCGTTGTCATTCGATTACCGGTAACCATCGTTTCCCTGCCTGCTGTTCTCCCCATAACCTCCTACTCTTTCACGCTTTCTAAGGTGCTGAAACATCAGTGCTAGGGGTCACGTTCATCCTCCTTTCCTCTTCATACCTATCCTTCCCATCCTCCTTTCATCCTCCTTTCTCTTGCTCCTCTTACCTGTTCCACCACTCCTCACCCCCAGATGCTGCAGAGCATAGCAACAGACGATCTTGCTACAGTCCTCGATCCCTCCATAGCCGCCCAGTCAATGCCATTCCGTCCCATCCGCTCGTTCGCCCGCCTCGCCGCCCGCTGCGCCGCCCACGCCGCCCGCTCTCGTCCCGACATCAGCACAGTGGTATCAGAGCTGCAGGGGATCAGCCGGGCAATGATTCGACTCAGCATGGCCCGCACCACTGCCCACAACTCGTTTGTGTCACGCGCAGACTCTTGCCTCGACTCTCCAGATGGTTCCGAGGAAGATTCACCTGAAGATTCACCTGGAGAATCACTTGCTGCTTTGCCTGAAGATTCGCATGCTGGCTCACGAGAGGCGCAAACAGAAGAGCTGGTTGAACCTAGCTGGAATGGCAGAGGGCAGTTTCAGAAGCTCAGTTGATCCATCAACAATCCCTCCGTTGGCTAAATAGGATGCTCTAATAAAAGCTTTTGGCCACATACCGTAAGCTCCCGGATATAAGACCCTAGGGTCTTATGTAAAATTCATAAAAAAAATGGGGGGGGTCTTGTTAAAGGGTAAAGATTGTATAGTACCCGGGTCTTATGATATGGACGTGTATTTTAAATGTGTATTCAAACGCCTCATTGATCTGGATGCTTGCTATTTTGTTTTTATCCTCGATAGGTCCGCGGATGTGAGTATTCGCGATATAGGTACATCACAATGAAATCTGGTTGTGACCTCCTAATTGAAATCTGGCTGTGCCAATAACATTGAAATCTGGCTGTTTTTTTCCCCCATATTGCTACTGTTTTCATGAACAGTCAACCCAGTGTGGGATTAGTAGGCCTGAATCTGTGTTCACACCCTTATCATTCTAAAAAAACACATGAAAATGCATCAAAATGCCTTTAAAAACACTAGTGCACAAGTTTAGGGGGGGGTCTTGTAATGTTTACCCCTCTAGGGGGGGGTATAGTGAAAACCTGCCAAAATAAAAGACCCACCCCCGTATTACAGACCCGGGGGTCTTGTATTCCCGGGGGTCTTATATCCGGGAGCTTACGGTAGGTTTCGGAGTGACACTAAAGATACCGGTAGTCAGAACAGCGTCATATGTAACGGTATGTAATGTCACAGTGACAGGGTACGGTATCATACATTAAGCTACCGTTACGGATGGATGAAGTGCGTACAGTGACAAAGTATCCTGATTGCTGATCCAGTTTGGTTGGAGGGATGATTATACAAGTCCTGTAGTTAGTGTCATGTCATGTATCACAAGCCCTGTAGTTAGTGTGCTTGCTCGATTCTACCAAAGACAAGCCCTGTAGTTGGTGTGCTCTACCAAAGACAAGCCCTGTAGTTGGTGTGCTCGATTCTACACACCTTGAGTTGATGGCATGGTTCTACAAGCCCTGTAGTTGGTGGAATGATTAAAGCCCTGTTGTTAGTGTGCACCTGCTCGATTCTACAAGCCTTGTAGTTAGTGTGCTCAATCTTACAAGCCCTGTTTTAGTGTGGTCGATTCTGCGAACCCTGTAGTTAGTGTGCTTGATTCTACAAGCCCTAAAATTAGTGCTCAATTTGCACGCCCCCCTGCAGTTAGTGTGCCCGATTATAGTGTGCTTGCCTTTACAAGCCCTGTGATTAGTGGACTGGATTCTACAAGCCCTGTAGTATCCAGTGTGCTCGATTCTGCAAGCCCTGTAGTTACCGTAATGTGCTCAATTATACGGTACAAGCTCTGTAGTTAACGTGCTCAAGGCAAACCCTGTAGTTGCTCGATTCTACAACCCTGTAGTTAGTGTGCTCAATGCAAGCCCTGTAGTTAGTGTGCTCAATGCAAGCCCTGTAGTTAGTGTGCTCAATGCAAGCCCTGTAGTTAGTGTGCTCAATGCAAGCCCTGTAGTTAGTGTGCTCAATGCAAGCCCTGCAGTTAGTGTGCTCAATGGAAGCCCTGTGATTAGTATGCTCGATGCAAGCCCATGAGTTAGTGTGCTCGATGCAAGCCTTGTAGTTAGTGTGCTCAATTCAGCGCGCCCTGTAGTTAGCATGCTCAGAGGCACAAGCCCTGTGGTTAGCCCTGTGGTTAGCCCTGTGGTTAGCCCTGTGTTAGCCCTGTGGTTAGACCTGTGTTAGCCCTGTGGTTAGCCCTGTGGTTAGCCCTGTGTTAGCCCTGTGGTTAGCCCTGTGGTTAGCCCTGTGTTAGCCCTGTGGTTAGCCCTGTGGTTAGCCCTGTGGTTAGCCCTGTGTTAGCCCTGTGGTTAGCCCTGTGGTTAGCCCTGTGGTTAGCTTGCCTGCTCTACACAGGGGGACGCTCAGGAGGGTGGGACGCAGGGGGAGGTAGGCCGCAGCGGGAGGGGGTGGTGGGGCGAGTTTTACGCAGGAGGGGGATTGGAGGTGGGGGGGGAGGCGGATTGGGGAACCAGTAAGGAGGGGTGGGCGGGGGAATCAAGGGGGAGGGAGGGGGAGGGGGATACCATACCTGAGAGTGTTACTAGTCTAGATATCCTACACCCCATTATTAACTGCTTCAGCTTTAGCCTATGGGTCTTCATCCCCCTGTCTTGGCTTCGACATGGAACTTCTTCAAGTGTCCTGCATGCAGACAAGTGGGGACAAGGCACACGAGGTTTAGCTTCATTACTTGATAAAATAAGATACGATTTCATGTGCTCTGTGTTTTGGTATATGATGCTCATAATTTGCGTAATCAGAATCACATCATATAATATGTATGTTGTTCGGACAATATTGGGTGGACGAGTGGGATTGCACGAAAAAAGTGTGATGCAGAATCGAAAAGGACAAGTTGTGGAAACGTACCAGAATCGAGTGTGACTAAACTCATGTGCTATTCTCGAGTACCCTCGCACTCCATTACTCCTGCCGGTTCTCCTGCAGAAGAGTGAATTGTTATCACATTTGACGACGAAACACGAGAGGAAGCGGCATGAGGAGCGGAAAGTGAAAAGGCATGTAAAAGCAAAGGAGCAGATGTGGCAAAAAGTGTAGTGGAGCAAAGGGAGGGAAAATGGAAATAAAAAGCCGACATCCAGACCTTGCGGCAGGGGAGAATTGGGCTGAGTGAGGAGCCTTACCACATATGAGGATAATATTGACCTGAGGTCTGTCCATACCACCACTGCCGTCTTTGCCTGAAGGAGGAAACGCAGAGAGGGAGGAGGGTATGAGCGGGGAGCAGGTGGCATGAAAGAATGGAAAAGCGAGAGTGGAAGCACAGTGCATTTTTTCGAAAAGGGGCCGGGGAAGAGATGAGGAACGTACCACAGAAGAGGGCTTCGTTGATTCACCCTTGCTTGTTGCCCCTCACTACTACCGGTGCCGCTGCAGCTTCCGTGCTGTGATGTAAGATGAATGGCAGACGAGGAGGAGACAGGGGAAATGTGAGAGACGCATTGGTGATGTACACAGGAGAAGAGAGAGGGCTGGCGAGAGGGAACAAGAGAGTGGGGGAGAAATCGTGGCATGAAATAGGGCAATGGCAAGGGAGACCCGCATGAGGAGCAGCACAAGAAGAAGCAAACCGCATTGTGTCTACCGCAGGAGAAGAGGGTTGGTTGTACCAGGAGAAAGGGATCTGACTGACTTGGCCTTGCCCCTTGTCCGTCCCATGCCACCACTGCCATGCTTGCCTGAGGGAGGAAACACAAGGAGGGAGGAGTTTAGAATGGAAAGCAGATGGCATAAATGAAAGGAAGGCGAGAGTGGAAGACACAGAGTGCATTCATGGGAAGGGGGCGGGGAAGGGACGAGGGACGTACCACAGGAACAAGGCTCAGTCGAGTCGCCGTTGCTTGTTTCCCCTTGCTACTGTCGCTGCCGCTTAAAATCCCAAGCTGTGCTCGGTTGATTGGAAGCATTCTGTGACTGTTATCTCTTCTCCCGGGTCCTCCTCTGCCCCCAATCAACTGATGAAACGACAGTTGCATGGGAGAGGCAGAGGTGAGTGAGTGGGAGGGAGAGCATCAAGCATGAAAGAAAGGGGTGTGGCGAGGGAGAGCAGCTTGAGAAGCAGCACAGGAAGGATCTCTCCAAATTATAGTTCCTGTCTCCCCTTACTCTTCTCAGCAGATGCAAGAAAGCACAGTGGAGGGAATGAAATGAGGAGGAACGTATGAGTTATGCAAAGAGGAGTGAGTGGGAGCCAGGAAAGTTGGGAGATAGACAGAGAGGTGGGAGTGAGGCGGAAAAGTAAGTGGCATGCAGAGCATTAAAGAAGCGAGTCAGACGGAATTAGAAAGGTAAGGAATTGAGGTGAAGGAGTGAGTTAGAGGGAATTAAAAGGGTAGGGGGACTTACCACATCACAAGTCTTCTCTCTCGTCTCTTGTCTCTGCTCCCTCTTGTCTGCTCCCTTGTCTATCCTCCTCCTTGTCTCCTCCCTCTGTGTTATCCTCTGCTTCTGAACATCTGAGACAGTGGCAGATCAACAACTCAATATGAGGTAAAGGAGTGGCAAGAGAGAAGAAGGAAAGTACAGGAAACCGAGAGAAGATGGACGGAATGGACAATAGAATGGAAGGGCAAGATCTTACCACGTCTGCTGAAGCAACCTCTTCTCCTCTGCTTCCTCTTCTCCTCCTCTGCTTCCTCTCCTCCTCCTCTGCTTCTTCTTCTCCTCCCCTGCTTCCTCTCCTTCTCCATGGGTCGTCCTATGCTCCTCTTCTCCTCTGCCCACTCTTCTTCAAGCCAGGACACTCGAAGAGCTGCAACCTATAACTTCTACAATCTATAGCCTAAAGCCTACAGCCTGCAACAGATAAGGTGATACAACCTAAAGCCTACAGCCTACAGCCTCTACTTTACATAAGAGTTACAGCCTCCAGCCTAGAGTCAACAGCCTACAGCCTACAGAATACGGCCTGTACTATACAACAGAACAAGGGTTACAGCAGATGTAGCTCTTTTTAGGGCGCGTGTGTTCCGTGCCCAAGTTCGAAAAAAAATTCGAACTTTGTGTGGTTACCTGTTTCGCAAATTTCGCGAATAACACCTAACGAGCATCGCGAATTTCACGGATTAGGGAAGTTCGCACTTGAAAAGAGAACTAGACTCGAGCTGGCTTTCTGAACGTGGGTGCGCACGTTCATGCGCGCGTGTGTGATTTCTAGCACGTACGACGACCAGGCGAAACGGGCGATGGATTGGCGAAGCTCCACATGGCACAACGAACGCACGCTGCGACCACGGCGCGGGTCACCGGACACGTGTCACCGTTCGTGGCACGACTCCAGAATCTTCACGAACGAGCTGGGGAAGCGTCATTGTCAGCGATTGACAAATTTCGGTGGTGCCACGGGGGCTATTTGTACCCAGAGATCACACGGAGCGCAAAGCTGTGTTGGAGGTCTAGTTGGATGTAATCCGAGGCGCTCCAGGTTGACGTGTCGCGACGTCAAGTCTCTTGTACCGGGTAACCTACGGTTCTGAACGCGGCTCGGCGCGTCTTTTACAAGGTCGAATGTTGGGGTTCGACCTTGTATGTGTGATTGCATCTTTGCAGTGTCATTCCGTCAAGGTGCGAACTTCGGTACAAGGAAACTCGAATTCGATTCGACTTAAGTTCAAAAGCAAATTTCGCCCTAAAAATATAAACTTTTGCCTATTTGACGGAACACACGCGCCCTTAACAATCTTATCACTCGCTTCATTTACAAAGTTAACATTCCATCCTTTATTTTCTCTTTCCATCTGCAAAGTTTCATTGCTTGATTGTTAGTTATCCCTTTCTGCATGCATCAAGGTTAAGTGCTGCCCTGTAGTCAGAGTGGGGTTAGCGTACCTGTAGTTAGGCGCTGCCCTGTAGTCAGAGTGGGGTTAGCGTACCTGTAGTTAGGCGCTGCCCTGTAGTCAGAGTGGGGTTAGCGTACCTGTAGTTAGGCGCTGCCCTGTAGTCAGAGTGGGGTTAGCGTACCTGTAGTTAGGCGCTGCCCTGTAGTCAGAGTGGGGTTAGCGTACCTGTAGTTAGGCGCTGCCCTGTAGTCAGAGTGGGGTTAGCGTACCTGTAGTTAGGCGCTGCCCTGTAGTCAGAGTGGGGTTAGCGTACCTGTAGTTAGGTGCTGCCCTGTAGTCAGAGTGGGGTTAGCGTACCTGTAGTTAGGCGCTGCCCTGTAGTCAGAGTGGGGTTAGCGTACTTGTAGTTAGGCGCTGCCCTGTAGTCAGAGTGGGGTTAGCGTACCTGTAGTTAGGAGCTGCCCTGTAGTCAGAGTGGGGTTAGCGTACCTGTAGTTAGGCGCTGCCCTGTATTTCCACCAAATGAAGCTTCTCACCAGTGGCACCGCGCTGCGCCAACAGCAGCACCCTCAGGCACCACAACATTGCACCCCTCCACCCCAAAAGAGTTCGCGCTGCTGGACTGAGATGGGTAGAGAGAGGGGGGATGGGTGGAGGAAGGGGGGATGGATGGAGAGAACGGGTAGGGGAGGTGAAAGAGGCAGGGAGAGGAAAAGAGAGAGCAAATGCAGGGTAACAACGGGAGTATTGAAGCAATAACGGATGAATGCATGAATGTGAAACGAGTGCGCAAACCAGAGGCTGGATGGGCCACAGCTGTGTTGAGTTTCGCTCTTGGAGTGTCAGTTGGTGTGCTGCTCTGCATGCGCCAACGCCATCAGCTGTAGCACCAGCACCATCACCAGCACGATTCGCTTTATCGCACTGCTGGGATGGGATGGGTAGAGGGAGGGGAGGAGCAGGTACGGAGGTGAAAGAGGCAGGGAGAGAAAGTGAGCGAGCAAACGAGAGAATGATGAATGCGAGAATGAGAAACGAGTGTGCAAACCAGTGGTTGGATGGGCCACAGCTGAGTCGAGTCTCGCTCCCGGAAGTGTTGCTCCCGGAGTGTTGCTCCTCAAGTGACGCTCTTGAGTGTTCCACTCCTTTTGTCGTGAAACAAGGGCATGGACTGGTGAGAGGGAGAAAAAAGGATACAGGATGCATGGAATGGAAAAACGCCATGGAAAACGATCGCAAGCAACAAATGAAGCAAAGGCAGAGAAAACAGAGAGGTGATGGTAGCCCATGGCACAAGGTTGGCGAGCTAGCAGGCAAGGGGGACGAGGTAAGAAGGAGATGCGGGCGTGAGTGTGAGTGCATTCTAACCCCCTAGGACTCTAGTGTGAGCTCAAGCCGCCCCAGTGCCATGTGCTACCATCGCCACACGAACGTTTTTAATACCTTCATGCGAAGGCAGCGTTTTGGTTCGAAGCATGCTTGAAAAGAGAGGCTGGGCAAATGTGAACACGAATTACAAGGTAAAGCGGCGGTAAGGATGGCAAGGGTTGAAGAGGGAACTTAGCGGGATTCAGAAGCTGCTCGTCGCTTTGTTGATGTCAGCAGCAACACGCCCAGCAGCAACACTCCCAGCAGCAACACTCAAGGTCGTTGGGCGCGTGAGGGAGTGGCGTGGTCAGCAGGGCATGCAGGAGGCACGCACGCCGCTGTGACTGTCTGCTGTGCGTCATCCCACCGTCCTCCCTCTCCTGCACCACGCTGCCACAGCCCTGTGCGAGAGGGGGAAAGCTTAGGAGAGGGAAGGGAGCGAGTGGGAGAGAGGAGAGAAGGCAGAAGGGGGCAGGAATTGAAGTAGTTAGTGTAATATAAGCATGGGCGCGATTGACATATTGTAAAGCGGCAGGGATAACAGGAGGAAAACAAAACGGAGGCATAATACTGTGAGAGTAAAAGCTGGAAGTTAAACAACAGGTGGCACAGTGAAAGGGTAGGCGATGGTAGCTCATGGCACTAGATTGGCGAGCTAGCAGGCAAGGGGGACGAGGTAAGAAGGAGATGCGGGCGTGAGTGTGAGTGCATTCTAACCTCCTAGGACTCTAGTGTGAGCTCAAGCCGCCCCAGTGCCATGTGCTACCATCGCCACACGAACGTTTTTAATACCTTCATGCGAAGGCAGCGTTTTGGTTCGAAGCATGCTTGAAAAGAGAGGCTGGGCAATTGTGAACACGAATTACAAGGTAAAGCGGCGGTAAGGATGGCAAGGGTTGAGGAGGGAACTTAGTGGGATTCAGAAGCTGCTCGTCGCTTTGTTGATGTCAGCAGCAACACTCCCAGCAGCAACACTCCCAGCAGCAACACTCAAGGTCGTTGGGCGCGTGAGGGAGTGGCGTGGTCAGCAGGGCATGCAGGAGGCACGCACGCCGCTGTGACTGTCTGCTGTGCGTCATCCCACCGCCCTCCCTCTCCTGCACCACGCTGCCACAGCCCTGTGCGAGAGGGGGAAAGCTTAGGAGAGGGAAGGGAGCGAGTGGGAGAGAGGAGAGAAGGCAGAAGGGGGAAGGAAATGAAGAATTAGTCTAATATAAGCATGGGCGCGATTGACAAATTGTAAAGCCGCAGGGATAACATGAGCAAAAGAGAACGGGGGCATAATAATGTGAGACTAAAAGCTGGAAGTTAAACAACAGGTGGCACAGTGAAAGGGTAGGCGATGGTAGCTCATGGCACTAGATTGGCGAGCTAGCAGGCAAGGGGGACGAGGTAAGAAGGAGATGCGGGCGTGAGTGTGATTGCATTCTAACCCTCTAGGACTCTAGTGTGAGCTCAAGCCGCCCCAGTGCCATGTGCTACCATCGCCACACGCTGCCCATCCCTCAGTCAACTTTTGATCCCTCCCAAGCAGAAGCAACGTTTTTGTTTCGTGCAAGATTCGATAAGCGAAAGAAGAAAGGAAAACAAGCAGGAAGAATACAGGGTATGAGAAACTCTTAGCCGTGTGATGAGCAGAGGGGTGTTGACACGGCCAGCAGCAGCCCTCCCTGCAGCAGCCCTCCCAGCCAGCAGTAGTCCAGCAGCTCGGCAGCAGTGGTCAGCAGGGCCAGCCCAGGCCGTGCGTCATCCCACCGCTCGCCTCTCCCGCTCACCACGCTGCTCCCACTGCTCCTCCCTGCTCCCTGCCGCTGCCGCCCAGTAGATGCGCTGGTGGAGGGATGCAGGCAGAAAGAGAGGAGAAGAGGGAAACATGTTAACGGAGCAGAGAGTTGAGGTGAGAAGACAAGTGACAAGCAGGGGGTACGCAAGTGGCAGAAGGGAAAAACGGCAAGCAAGCATGCAGTGAATGGTGAGCAGAGCGGAACGACAAGTGAGTGGTCGGGAGGGGTGGGAGGGGAAGGCGCATGGAGACGGTGAGGCCAGGGGCAGCATAGCAGCGAGCTAAGGCAGCGAGGGGGGACTAGGGAAGAGAGAGACGCGAGCATGGCATGAATGCACAGCTACTCTATGCTACACCCTCTCTCTCCTTCTCTCTCTCTGGACTCTACATGAGCCCGGTGCCAATGCGCCCTGACCCACCGCCGCCATGCGCCTCACAAGAGCACGTTTGTTTGGGACGTGAATCGCGGGATGCAACAACACAACAGAGTGGTGCAACGACAAGGGCGGGTGGGGGCAAGGGAGGAGTGCAAGGGTTGAGGAGGGAACTTAGCGGGGTTCAGCAGCTGCTCGTCGCTCCGCGCTCCGCGTTCTGCTCGCATCGTCGCCGCGTCTGCTCGCCGCGCCATGCGTGCGCCATGTACTGCGTTTCCGCTCGCCGATTTCGCTTGACGCGTTCCCGCTCTCCGATTCCGCTCGTCGAATTCCCGCGTTCCGATTACGCTCGTTGCGTTTCCGCTCTCCGATTCCGCTCGTCGCATTTCCGCTCCTAATCAGCCGTCAGCCGTCAGCCGTCAGCCGCCAACCGCAGCGTTGCTCGCCTAACGCCGATCCGCTCAGTTTCGCTTTGTCTCGTCGCGCTTTCCCTTGCTCTCTGCTCCCTGCTTCCGCTCGCTGCTTTCGCGATGGTCGTTTGTCGCTCGGCGTTTAGCAGTCGTCTTCGCTCTGCGTTTAAACGTTCAGCTGTCCGTTGGACGCTTGCCGTTCAACGTTCGCGTATCGTCGTTCGGCGTTCAGCAGTCGCCTTAATCGCTCGGCGCACAACACTCGCCGTTCCTCGCTTGCCGTTTAACGCTCGCCGATCGTCGCTCGGCGTTCAACAGTCGGCGTTCCTCGTCAATCGTCGCCATTCGTCGCTCGGCGTTCACAATCGTCGTTCGTCGCCGTTCAGCAGTCGCTCCGACTGACGACTCGTCACGGCAGAAAGCACCGTCGCTCGACATCGTCAGAAGCGGCCGTGTCGTTCGTCACTGTCGGGAAACACGCTCTCAGTCACCACCGTCAGAAGACGCCGTCGCTCGTCACCGTCAGAAGCGGCCGTTCCGTTCGTCGCCGCCGGGAAACACCCTCTCAGTTACCACCGTCAGAACACGCCGTCTCGATATTATATGTCAGAGGTCCGCGTCGTTGGCGCAAGCAGCGTATCGCCAGCCGACGCCAAAACGAATCGTTCTTAAAACAATTGTGAGGGATTTCGGCGAACGGTCATGTGCCAAACCCCTTCCCTCCCTACGAGCGTCATGCAAGGGTCAAGAGTACTAAAGCAGAGTTGCCATGAAATGCTGGCGCAGAGATTAGGATCGATCCAAGATAGAGGGTCACTGGTACTGACGTAATGCCAGTGGGCGACATCCATGTACTACGAGCGTCTCCTTACGGATTCTTAAAGTCTATAAATAAAACTTCTCCGTGCGACTATAGCAGGCAGAGATCGGGGTGATTCTAAGACGATAACTACGATCAAGCGTAAGGAGATTACTGGTTAGCGTTGGAAAGACGTCAGCCATAGACTGCAGCTAATGAGCTCAGCCTTGATGAAATAGTCATAATAATATATAATATTATGATTAAGATATAGAGCGACTCGCCGGTGATCAAATGTTGGCAGCCATAGTAAGCCTACTAACAGGGAGTCTCGGTGAACGAACCGCGGTGATCATGGCGAGGAGATAAGGAATTCAAGGAAGCTTGAGAGAGGAAAACATGATAGCAGAAAGGTGTAAGCTGAGAAAGAGGCATTCCGTGAAATTTGGTGGATTACGAACGATTGAGAACGGTGCGAAGCGATTCACAAGAAGCTTGTGGTAGGGAGGCAATGCTGCAGGCGAGAACCAGAAAGGCACTTTGCGCTGGTGAGGTGAAGGCCGCCGTAGCGTCGGCAGACGCTCACGGATCGTTAAAGCCGGCGGCCCAAATTGTTCATGCTTTTAAAAGTTGACCAGAGGGAGTTTTTCTGGTGTGGGCTTTGGCGAGAGTTTCCGATTTCGTCTAGGTTCGTTTTTTTCGCGAGACCCAGCCAACCCTCGGTTTTCCCCCTGGTGAGTGAATCTGTCTTCGAAAGTCCCAAATTGCAAGTGCGTGACTTTCAAAAGCTTGGACACTCAACTTCGTCAAGTTTTAAAAACTTGACCCTCGCGGCCCGCAATTTGGGACGCGGGCCTTAAAGCGACGGTGCACATTTGCCACCCAAAACCCAGAACCCTGGCGAACTGTTACTGCGGATGGAAAGTGTCCGCACGAAATCCTGGTTTTCGCCAGCCAGCACTTTCGCGCTGGCAAGCCTGGTTAAAAAAAAAAAACTTCTGAACCCAACACTGCCAAAAGTTGCCCGTCGCTTTAACCGAGCTTTGACGACAATATTTGGCAGCAAATGAGGTTATGCGAGGCGAAATGAACAATTCTGATTGTTTTGCGCGAGTTACAAGATTTCGCCGAAGCGCGAAAACCTGGCAGTTTTGATTGTTTTGCGCGGGAACTGGTCCCAAGAAGTGCGTGCCTCTGACAGGCGCCCATATCATGGCCCATGGATTCTACATGATGCATTCAAACAATCTGGTGACTCTAGATTGATCGAACGGCTGAGGGCCACTCTCAGAGGCTTGGAAGTTGGGAGCATGAACGAGAGTGACTGTAGCCCTCTGAGTCCTCTTCAGTTGAGTCATCAACCACATTCTTGTAGCGATAGTTCTGATGGTGTAACTCAACCATAGGCGCCTAATCATTTGTCACCACCTAAAAATACATGGAATATGATATTTCTGGACAACCAAACACAA